TAAAATCGACTTAATCCAACTTTTCCATTTTCACATTTGCTGATCGTCTCGTCAGAAATGGGCCATGAACTTGTAGGGACATTTTTCGTAGTTGCAACAATTCTGTACACTGTTAGAAATTTTTGGAAATTTCATGAAAAACATGATAGCGATTCTCATGAGAGTGACATTGAATCGGCTTTAGGATAAAAATTCTAATGAAATTCCAAGTCTTAGGTAGAATTCAAGGAAATTCATGAGTTTTCAGAGGGAGTGAGGTGGAAATTTCGCAACTCGATTGAATTTTCAATGAAATATAAATATTCAGAAAAAAAATCATATGAACTTTCAATTTTTCCCTGAACTTTCCTGGGTTTTCTGACTTTTCACGGAATAATTTAACTGAAAAATCAAGTATTTTGTTGATTTTCAAATCATTCGAACAGAAAGTCAATGGAACATTTGATCTTTCAATGACAATGTGTTCTGAAATTTTAGCGGATATTACACACAATAAAAATTTCCAGGATTTGGCACGAAAAATTCAGACGAAAATTTTCAACAGTGTATAATAGTATATTGTGCGTCGAGGGCGGAAAGTTAAAGCTTTCCGCTCGAGGTGTACATACGATTTTTTAACACGCCTGCACTGAGAGAAAAATATGATTCTTCTGACTATATTCCATCACCATCAAATTATAGTCAAAAACTCCTCAACAATTTTTCATGGGTTACGATAACTATGGCCGGAGAAGTAATTACTACAATGGAATGCAGTCATTGCAACTATGTTATAGTTCTACTCACGATAGATTTGTCGTGGTTACTTTTGAACTTTGGTTAGTTTAACTGCATTTTAATTTGCAAAAATTACGCTTGTGAAGTTACTATAATGTTATGTGCCGCATACAAAAAAAATCGTATCGTTCACCAAAACTGCCTCAACTATTTTCTTATTGTAAATCGAACTTCAGATTTTTCTCTCAGTGTGCGAAAGAAGCGGGAGGAAAGTGTGAACTTTCCGTGCAGGGGTGTGAAAAAAAAAATTCGGCACTTTTTTACCAGATCCCTCGTTAACCCGTTGAACAGCGTAAATCACAAAATGTATCTGTGTGACAAGAGTGGGGATGTCCTCAATGTATTAGAGCGCCATAAGAAAGGCCCGGCTGCGCATGCACACTACCTCAAAATGGTGAAGAGTGGGGTACATGTGAGGCTGTTCAATGTATGAAGGAGATAATTCACAAATGAGATGAGCTATGTGCATTTACCCCTCCTGCCCCCCATCAACATTATTCGAAAACACTTCTTGAATAAAAATACAATTGATATAAAATAAAAATAAAAAAAATAAAAATAAAATAAATTGATAAAACTTTGAAAAATTTTAAACATAAAGATCAAGTTGGTGTTTTTTCAAGTGTTGACGTTGATATTACAGACACTGTATGAAAAATAATTTTGTCACGTTTGCTTATAATGCGATCCTGGCAATGCTACGACCTCTCATTGCGATTCAAAAATAGATAAGGCGAAAAAACCAAGACGAAGATTCAAGAGGAGGAGACAGAGACGGGTCAAGAGAGAGTGTATCGTTGATACGTGGCGCGAGGGGTTGAGCCCACGCGTTACCACGAGGTGTGTGCGAATCTCGACCTGACTTCTACGCCCGATACGAATGGCAAAGAGAAGAACAGATAAATGAGAAACAGGATGGATGCTTGCCAGGGACCCGCTGTGTAATAAGATTTAAAATAGACTTCGTCTGACGCCAGTAAAAATGTTATTCAACTTTTATCATCTCTTCGATACTGCAGTTTATTTACTTCGAAGGTTTGAATGGAAATGTGCTAAATTGTCCTGATATCCAAGGGATTTGTGAATTCTTGGCTCTTGGGACGTCATGCAGGCTATGCGGCTGCGTCAGAACAATGAATGCAGTTAGTAATTGAAAAATATAGAAGAGTGTTTTCGTTTCAGCGCTCGGTGAAGCAGTTGCGCATTGTCGTAAGGACATTTTTACCTTTTTTTTGTGATACCTGTCTCCAAAGTGCACTTTTCGAAACGGTTTAGTGTGCGTAAAGCGGTTGTTTTTCGTACGGCGTGCGTAAACTTCATTAGCGTGCGCAAAAGTCAACTTCACGCACTTGTGCACAAAAACAACCACATTACCTCGATTACCGTTCCGAAACGTGAACTCCACTGAGAAAAAAAATTACTTCTGCCAAGTAAATTTACTTTTCAAGAATTGAAGAAATTAATATAGTCCTGTAATAAAAAGATATATGATAGTATATATGTATATAATACATAATACATCCCTAAAAATAAAAAAGGACGCAAAAAGTAAAAGCGAAACGAAGAAGAAGATTATGACGATCCCGAATAAATTATTCAACAATTGAATTCTCATTGTGAAAAACTTTGTTGAAACCATTCATTTTTTCTGCATTATTATTAAGATAAAAATTAATGAAAGTGAGAAATGATAAGGTTTTTCTATTCTGGCAACCATGGAAAATAATACGTGCGTGAAGCGTGCGTCCTGTTCTAATGGAGCAAAATTCTTCCAAAATTAATCATACGCATGAGACAACACACATAAACACGTATAGACACGGGGAGTCATTGGATTGATTCGTAATGTTTCACAGCCGCTTCATCCCACCTTTAACAATCGTACCCCGGCTCTCATTTTCAATCATGATTTTAGGAATGAGGGAATTTTTATCACAATTTTTTGTTAATTTTATATTGATTATTCCTGCGACAGTTTCACTATTTGTCTAGAAATTTGTTTATTCGCTCTGAATTTATTAATTATAAATAAGGGATAATGCCCCTAGTCTCTTCGCAATATCATAATGATTGCCATGTGGCAATCACAGGATATACGACAGCTGCACAGAATATTTGTAAGACAAATATATTATCGTTGTGCAAATAGAAATTGGAAGAAATTAAGGTCAAAATACAATTGGAGGTATTAATTTCATGCAATCTAACTAGCGCGTGTGAATAGGTCATCTCCCTAGCTTTGGAGGAACATAACAAAATACTTTTTTCTATGGAATTGAATTTCCAACAGAAAAAGCATTCTGATAGTCTCTTTTCAGATTGACCACAGTCTAGATTTTATAATTCATGAACGAGGAAAGATTTCACTTCGAAATTCAATTCATAGTTCACTTTGGTAATTCTACAATTATTTCGGAAAAAGAGTGATTTTAGAAAAAATATCAAGGACTTTTTTACTATAAAATCAAATTCCCAACCAAAATTGCCTCTCAACATTGCCGTGTATAATTAACAAAAACCGAAATCATTTCCTATTTTATCCACGAAGAAAATTCCACTCCAGAATAAGAACCGACTTTGTCACAGATGTTTATCCATTTTCCGAAAATCAAATTTTGCATATTCAAAGAAAATTCACTAATACTTTGGACTGATGGGGAATAAATAAAAGTCACATTTCTAATGAAAAAGAAGAGTGAGTTACAGTGGTTCTGACGAAATGAAATGAGTACATTTTTGCGTAGACCGGAAAATTTCAAGGAAAATACTCGGTCCAAGAGCCAAGGAAAAATCAGTGGTAAAACCCGAATTGAAAAATAACGATTGCGTAGATTTGATCCTAAACAAAATTCAGTAAAAGTTTCAAATTGATCAGGAATCTTGTTCCTGAGAAATTCGTAAAATATCTTAATATGTACTCTTGTGCAAAATGTCGAAAAAAAATTCTACCAGTGTAAAAAATAGTGACAAAAATTTGGAACTGTGCCGACAAAACGGAAAAATAATATAATTGTTTCTCGTAAAAAGTTGCAATTATTAGGTGACTTGGCTCTTTCGAATTGAAGCTTTTCGAAAAAAATATCAGAGAAGTTATCAGATCCCTCTGGTGATCCAACTTTTTCGAACAAACTATCTAAAAAATTTCAATTGTCTAGAGTTAAATTGGACTATAATATGGAAACAGCCTTAAGCCCCCTTAACCTCATGCTCACGCTTACACTAGCTGAACACAGTTTATTTGTCTCTGAATAATCAACTCGAGTTGGCGCCTCAAAATTTTTATCTACACGCCGAAGATAACTCTGTCTATAAATTGAAAAAAACGATTAAAATTCTTTTTAGTGCTCGTGCTGTCGAATAAACATTCTCAATTATGCAACTATTCTGACCATTATCTATTCGAGAGGGAAATGGCAGAAGACCTTTTTCGTCGAAATTTCCAATCAACGCTGTCTTGCAAGATTTTCCCCAAAAATCACTGATCATCAAGATAACTCGACATTAAATAAAACCTGAATGATCGTGCTTTCAAGTCTGTTAAATTTCACGACTTCACCCCCGCTTCCTCATTTTTTAATTACATTCAATGGAAAATTTCCCATCATTCCAATATCATATTCGATAAAGAATAAATCGAAGCAAGAGAGAAAGTTCCTCAATCCGGTTTCAAATAAAAAAAATCGCAGCAACATATAGAGTACGGAATATTCCGTATGAAGAGAAGAGATTATCACCGAGAGAACGATGTGAAGGAGTGTATCGAGAAAACACCCGGAGAATGCGTGATTGATATACATAATATACCGTCGGTCTAATAAAAGCATCTAAACATATATATAACCAAATGAGTAATGCCGATTGTCTCAAGAGTTCGCATCCATCAAATTATCTGTTTTTATACTATCTTCATCATTTCAAACGTCACAAAAATAAATTGATGCCCTCTACTCCTACAGAATGCGCACTAAACTCCTTTACCTCTTAATTAAACCCACAATTAACGTACCGTCGTTACGAACTAGACGAAAACAAAAAAAAGACAATCTCATTCACGGGCTGAATCACCGTCGAAGCAATCATCGCAATATTTCACCCGCCGATTTTTTTTTCACTCGAAATTGTGACCTTGACATTTGTCCCCTGACATATAACTTCATAAAATTAAATTAATCAATCAAGAGTATCAAATGACATTGTAAAGTTCCATGAAAAATAAGACATACTCAGTTTTAACGCAGGTCGAGAGCTCGAAAATTTTCAAATTTGAAAATTCTCCTTCGCAGTTGCACCTTCGATGCGGTGACACTTTGAAAATGCACTCTTTCCTCCGTAATGTCAATGTAATTTTAATGGGCACTAATTATGAAATTTAATTGGATTAATTAGCCGGCACTGAAACAACACGTGAAACCCACGAAATTGTCAAACCCCGATCACAACGACTAATAAAAAACGAGTGGTGTCGCCGTCGAATGGTCGTTTCGTCGTACGTAAGACACAATTCGACAAGGGCGTACAAGGTCGCAGCTGCGCGCCACGCAGCATTTTCAGGTACGGGTAGCCACGAAATTACGTTTGCATATGCGTGTGTCGCGCATAGATTTAGAATTTTTCGTACCGGCAATTTGTAAAAAGTAAAAAAAAATCAGCGATGGAGGAGAGCGCGGTTGCTTCAACAGCTTCGGGAGAGAGACTGCACGCGTATTTCCTCGAGAACCAGAAGACCCTGAACTCGAATAAACCGGCACCGAAGTGCAAGATAAAATGAAAACAAAAATGCTGAATGCAGACACGTGGGGAGAGCCGATTTTTGCCGGCTGGGTGGAAGATTGAAGCGAGTGGGACAAAATGGAGGCCCCCAATCGGTGATTTCTCAGGAATAAATGATACGATTTTAATGTAATTGGTCTGGTTCTATAGGTTGGCGGGAGTTCTTCGAAGTGCAGTAAGATCAATGAATTTTACTCTGCCGATATCGTGTTAATAGTTAGTAAAGAAGGCAGGACTTCAGATAAAAGTCCTTTAAACTTCAAGATCACCGGAGCAAACGATAAGATTTCCATGAATTTTAACCCTAGTCTGGCCACCATATGAGACCTTGCGATTGGTCTCTTCCGCGAGACTCGTCAGCGTATTATTTAGGTCCCAGCGTTGCCGAATTTATCCTACACCGCCCGGGTGCGTTCACCGAGTTTCCGGCAACGTCGCGTGATGGGGCAATTGCTTCTAACATGGAAAAAGAAAATTCGTCTGTCGGAAATAATTTTCTTTAGGAATTTTGGGAATTACGTTGTATTAAAAACCACTGTAATTTTTTAAACACTTTAATTGACAAAGTTAATTTCTCTTTAATTTTTTCAGTTAACCAGTCAATCGCAATTGATGAAAAACGAGATGCTGCGGCGTTCCCCTCATATGATGACCACTCTAGAGTTAGTGCACTGAGAGAAATTTCAATAGTAATTTTAACTACAAGGGAATTGTCAAAAAAATAATAGTTACGGTAACAATAAACATTGTCGATTCGACTATTACATTAACCCTAGTCTGGTCACCCTACGCGACCCAACGACTTGGTCACGTCCGCGGGGAAGTGCCGCCGTGTTATTTAGGCCCGAACGTTGCCAAATTCACTCTACACTGCCCGGACGCGTTTAGCGAGTTTCCGGCAACGTCGCGTAACAGGCACTTTCATTCAACATGGGAAAAAATAATTCCTCTGTGAGAAAAAAATTGTTTTCTTCAGGAATTTCGAGAATTATGTTGTTCTGAAACTATTGTAAAAAATAAATATCCGCCCCTGAAATCAGTAGTAACAGACTAAAAGAATAAAAGGACGGACCAAAAAAGCGCTCGAATCTGAAAGTGGAGGGGAACTTTCCACTTCAAAAAGCATCTTCTTCAATACCCTCGAAGGAAAAGGATCGGTCGTGGGACACCGTGTATACAGGTTTAGAAAGATTCAGTCGTAGTCTCAGCCCTCGGGCTCTTACTGACAATTATCTTGGACATTGTATTCTATTCAGATAACAGAGGGATTATTTACAATGAAGATAAATAATAGAATAGGGAAAAGCGAATAATGAAAAACCCTAAAAATCGAAGGCGAGGGTGGTAAGCGCGTGGGTAAGGGATTTTTATTTTACCTCCTGTGGTTAGAACCGCATTTTTCGCGTCGACATATGTGCAAAATCAGATTTCCCTCCCGCGAAGTGGGACGAAATGTAATTTTAGACAAAAAGTCATTGGACAAATGGTTTTTGTACCCTACCCATTAAAGAGTGAAGCAACACGAAGGCCTTTAAATCGGTAATATCTCGTGAGAGGATGATACGATTTTGATGAATTTGGCCTCGCATTAAACGTTAAAGGAAGATCTTCGAAGTGACGGAAGATTAATGAGTTCTACTCTGCCGATATCATGTGATTAGGTAATAAAGAAAACAGGCATCAAAATAGAATAATATAATTTCCGAAAATTTAGTCTCATTTGAAGTTTTAAACAATTATTTTTGAAGTAATGTAGGAATTGTCCACTCTGCCGATTCCCAGTTTTTAACATTCGAAACCGGTTCATGTGCTTATCGAAACTGAATTATTTTAAATTGTCAATATTTCTTGACGAAATGATAAAATACTAATGGAGGTGAACTCGATTTCATTTTGACACTTGAAAAAACCTTGAAAATGATGTAAAAAAATAATTGAATTTTACTCTTCTGATCTCGAGGTTATTAACGATCGAAACCGGTCCATTCAGTGCTAAAAATGGAACTTTTAAAATTCAATATCTCTGATTAAAAATAGGATTTCAATGGAGTTAGTCTCATTTCGAAGCTCTAAAACAGATGTTGAGCTCGGTTGTTGGTATCGGTTGAAAAAATTTGATGTTTTTTCAACCGATAAATAAAGTTATCTTCTTCGTATTGATAAACATTTTAATCCGGCAACCCAAATTGCTTATTCAGAAATGGAGTTGAAAGTTTTCAATATTTAATGCATTATTTTTAGCTGGGTACCCGAGGTTTTTCCTTGCATTGGATTCAGTATATCTGTTCACATTGCCCTTCATTTTTGTATTTATTTGTGGAGTCTTCTAGTAGATGGATTGTCACTCTGAAAATAAACCTCATAAGATCCCGGGTATAAGAAGGAATTTATTTATTTTATTAGTTCCACATGTTCCTCCATCAGTCTAAGAAATAACAAAAATTTGATTTTCAAAAAATGGATGAACATCCTTCAAAATTGCATAAAAGTTCAAATTTCACTCTGCCGATCGCGAATTATCACTTACTAAAATCGGTTCGTGTAATGCTTAAGATGCAATCTTTCGAATTATCAACATTTACTGAATACTAATTTGATTTTGGTCAAATCTTTTCTGTTTCAATGTCGAAAGAATCCTCAAAAAATGGCGTAAGAATAGTTAAATTTCACTCCACCGATCTTGCTATCCCCTACGAAAATCATGTCATATCGTTTCGATTTCAAAGTTGAAACGAACAGGAGACAGCGAGCATATGACAGCGCGCCATATGACAGTGAGCGTGTCACTGAGTGATGTCATTTTTTCATGATCATCAGTCATCAGATTATGACTTCCGAATGATCTGAAATATTACAAAAGTGTATCGCTTTACAACAGTAACTAGCAGCAAAATCCACCTTCAATACGAACCGTTGTTATCATGAGAGAAAGATTCTGTCCAAATTTCAAGTTGATATTCGATTTCTGCAAAAGTTCTAGTGCTAACAAGGATTTTAATGAAAAAACAGAAAAATGGGAATATCTCGAAAACTTTAATGGACGAGTATGCATGTTTGATTGATCTAAATAGAAATCTAAACATCGAGACAATATTTTGAAAAAGTGTATGTAAAAGATTTTCAGTAAAAGTCGAATATCTCCGAAACTACTGACGCGATTGAGCTCATCTTCAATACGAACCGTTGTTATCATGAGAGAAAATTTCTGTCCAAATTTTAAATTGATATCTCGATTTTTGCACAAGCTAGCGTGATTATTACAAAGATCTTCATGAAAACACAGAAAAACGGCAATATTACGAAAACTTTGTATGAACGGGTATAGGGGAGGTAGGGGCAAAGCGGACCCCCGGGGCAAAGCGGACCCCTTCGAAAAAAAAAGTGTGGGGTAAAGTGGACCCTCACATAAATTATTGAATCGAGTCGCCAGAATTATTCTAATACGTTTTATAAAGTGAAATTTACTACCTTGACTAAAAAAATATGCAATGAGGGCAAGTATAAATTTGTGTGAGCTCCTGCGGATCTAATTGTGAACAAAAAATGTGAGTTTTTGATCGACAGCGTTTACATTCTATCCAATCGGTAGAACAACATGACAATGACTCCTGACAAACGGAAAATTAAAATAATTTTTAAAAAACAGAGGGTCCACTTTGCCCCAACATTAATTTTTTTTTAAATTTAATGACAGATCTTAATTGCAATTCTAATGAGATTATGATCTCCACGTGAAGTGCATTGACTCATTAGAATTTAAAAAACTAAACGATTCGCTTAGAGGGTCCGCTTTGCCCCTACCTCCCCTATATGTTTTGATTGATTTAGATAGAAGACATCGAAATGAATATTTTGAAAAAAAAAAACATCGAAATCGGTCGACTAGTTTTGAAGATATTTGCGGAAAACGATTAAAAAACGAATCATTTGAAATTCGGATGTGGCACCCGCATTTTTCAAGGAATCCCTCGGAAAAATAGCGTAAGATCTTTAACCCTAGTCTGGTCACCAAACGCGTCCCTGCGACTTTGGTAACTGATTAGCCCCCGTGTTATTTAGGCTCTAGGGTTGCCGAATTCACTCTACACTGCCCTAGCGCGTTTAGCGAGTTTCCGGCAACGTCGCGTCATGAGCAATTTTATTCAACAAGGGAAAAAATAATTCATCTGTTCGAAATAATTTGTTCTCTTCAGGAATTATGGGAAAATATTTGAACAACATTTTAAAATATACTATAATTTTTTGCCCACTTCAATTGACGAAGTCAATTTTTTTTTATTATTTTATTTTTATTTTTTAGATTATCGATCAAAACCGGTAAGTTTCCCCCCACTCGCCCCAACATGTGACACACCGCCCGGCGGTCGATTCTGCAACTCATGCTGTCGATCGGTAGAACAGGAGATGAATGTATCGACAGTGCAAACGGCGGGAGAAATTAAAATTTCAGTTTTCCCGTAATTTATGAAGGCCTTTTGATTTGATTGAAAAATGTGTCGTTTTAATTTTCTCGAGTTTCTTACCTTGAAATCAGGAATTGAGGGATGTCGAGGGCCCCTGGATGACGCAATTCGCCACTGGTTTGTGGATCGCGTGCTGCCGCAGTGGATGCAGCCGCATTGCCCCTTATAGATTCACCTTAGTCACAATGTGTAATTTGTCCTTTCCATTAACTCGTGAAAAATATGTTAAACTCGATGTCACATTTGATATTACATATCTGCATC